TTTCCTGCCGAATTTTTCTGTTTTTCAAATTTTTGTTAACTTTTGCAATATCGACGATTCGATTTACGGCGTGGACGACCGCGCGACGATCGTCCGCGCTCGGCTCTTTCCGTTCGCTTTTGCCACGTTTTTCCGCGAAATCGGAGGAATTCTCGTTAACGCGCGACCCGTATGAAAATCCGATGATTATCTCGGCGCGAACACGCGAAGCGTGCTCGCCGAGCGAGCAGCCGACAACTCGAAGAATACCGGATTTCGAGCTCGCGGCGAGAGACGCTTGCTTGTGTGCTCGGCGCTCCGTGCTCCGGCCCGACCGGTCCCGCTAATTGCGCCCTTCATTAATTGATATCCTTCGTGACAAAAGCTCGTTCGCAAATTTCGCGTGGTTACGCGGTGTCAAAACAATATTGCAAATTACGGCTCGAATTACGGATTCGTTTCTCGACTCGCGACAGCTCTCCGCGGAAACTTTGACTCCGCTGCATGGTCAAACGTGGAACGACACAGTGCCGTGTTGAACGCGAGTCTCGCAGGAAAGTTCGCGTTCCGGGAATTTCAATTTTCCGCACTGGAAAAATCGCAGGACATTCGCCACCTCTGCTAATATTCGTTCCGATAATAACTTTTGAGTTGCGTTGATTTTAACTTCCTTGTATTGCCCGGTTGCAAGGAAAGTAAGAAACGTATTTCGTTTTCGTTGGACAGTGGGTTATTCTATTCTCTATTTTCTCAATCTTTTCCGCTTTATTTAATTATCTATCTTTGTCGCTTATTTTCACTTTTGGTCTTTCGTCGTTTTGTTATGCTGTTTATGTGACACATGTTATATCCTTTTTATCAGCAATATTTCTTCCTGCACAATTTTATCGTCTGAATTATTTAGTTAATGAGCTAGATTGATGATGTTTATTCATTTATAATGACAATTGTTTCCTAAAGTCAGTTCAAGGAATCATTTTATATCATCTAATTATTAGAAGCCTCTCAATTTTCATTTATTGTATTTAAATTCATGGAAATTAGTCGACGAAAATTTTGTTTATGACAGATATAGGACTCTAAAGTTTTACGCAAACTTAAAAATTATCTGATACAGGGTATAAGTAGACTGTTTTTTTTTTTTTAGTAATTCTACGAGGAACGACGCCCCAAGTCACGATTTCAAAAAATTCAGTTCGATGTGTTAATTGAACAGTAGCATATAAGATTTACGTATTTATCAGAAAAAACATTGTGGTAACAAATTCTACAGACTCGATAAAATTACGCAATTTGAAACACTACTAATGCGAAGCATCAGTGATCAGAACTTTAAGCGACAATACAATAAATTCTCCTTAATCGACGCTCATATACAGTGACTCGCATTAATATTCGGACACGATATTATCAGAAGAATTATTGCTCCTTTTTATTGTGTTTATGATAGTATTATCGAATCAATTGTTTTCTCATATAATAAAGCACTTCTTAAAGTAAGTAGAAACATAAATTTTGTTTATTTATTGCACATGTTCTTTTGTATAATAAGAGCGATAAACAAGACTGTGACAAAATTTAACGTCGCAAAAATATTCGGACAGTGAATGAATTACATTAATTTTATATAAAATTAAAATCTTTTTAATCATGTTATCATAATATTAATATTTTGTCGATTGACCCATTTGTTTTATTACTTTATGTAATCGCTTGGGCTCATTACAGATGATTTTATTTAAATACTGCGGTAAAATTCGTTTCCATTCGTCTAACAAACGTTGTTTTAACTCTGTTGTTGTTCTTGTAGGTGTTGTACGAATTTTGCGGTCTAATCGATCCCATAAATTTTCAATCGGATTTAAATCAGGCGATTCAGGAGGAGAATGCAGTACTTTTGAACAATTGAGCTGTTTATTTTGAAAGTGGCATAAGTCACTTTGTTTTTAAATCGATATATTTAAGAGTAACACGCGTTTTAACACGTTTAAAAATATGGATGCTAACTTTCGAGAAGATTTATTTGTATTCGTTATCTCACGATACTGATATTTTTCTCAGTATAAATAATTTCGTATAAACGTTAAAAAATCACCACTTTTCATTGCGGTAAAGTGACTTATACCACTTTCAAAATAAACGGCTCATTTCTTTTAAGTTCTTTTACACAAGGCGCTTCACGAGATAAAATTAAAAACCCAAGTATCGTTTTTTAAATTGACAATTTCTTTCGTGCATTTTCATTCAATCTTAATTGATCTAAGAATTATTAATCTTCGTATGTTTCTTTGCGAGAAAGTTCGCCGGTTTTCTGTTTTTAGATACTGCGCAACCTTTCATTTCTCTCTATTTGTGTTAAAAAAAATCTTATTCTTTAAATTATGGAATTATAAATGAAACGCAATTCATTGATTCGAGGCGTAAAGCATAATTTGATGATGAGTCCAGTATCTTACGTATAACTATATCTGAGGACTATATGACTATTTATTAATTAAATGATCGAAAATTAAAGAAAATGATCGGAACCAAAGGTAGATCACTTCTCAATGTCTCTCGAACATCGTAAATACATCTTTGACAATGCGTTGTTTTGATTCAATTAACACTAGAGCTACCAAACCAGTCGAAGTGGTTTCTGATATTTTCTTTCACAATTCCTGATATTATATTAGCCGTTTATTTTGAAAGTGGCATAAGTCACTTTCTTTTTAAGTCGATATATTTAAGGGTTTGCATTTTAACAGATTTAAAAATCTGGATGCTAACTTTCGAGAAGATTTACTTGTATTTGTTATCTCAGGATACTGATATTTTTCTCGGTATAAATAATTTCGTGTAAACGTTAAAAAATCACCACTTTTCATTACGGTAAAGTGACTTATGCCACTTTCAAAATAAACGGCTCAATTGTATAATAAATATGTATAATTCTGGCCTTGTGTTTAGGATCATTGTCCCGATAAAACTTAAAACTGTTCGAGTCACTGTATATACATATAAAACTGCACGATCTACACATATTCAAGCGGAAATTTTGAAATTCTAATATCAGAAATGTTTCATTATTTTTCCAACGCGCTGCGAGTTTTTCTTCAACGTTCCGCCGGTTCGGCATCTAAACAAATTACCGAGGGTCAGATCTAGCAAAGCTTTACAAGATCATAATTTCCTCCGCCCCAGCGGAAAGTTTTATTTCGTTTTCCTTTTCCCGAAACTCCTGCGTTGATCTCGAGAGACGCGCATTTTCCCGTTTGCACACCGAGCAGAAGCGCAGTTACAGACGCGAACTCCTTTGCCCTCAAAATTGCTACTCGTAATAAAGTTTCTTAATTAAAAGCCTACTATGGAGTTACCGAATATCATATTTTTCACGAATTATAATATGAAATATACTGGAACGCTATTATCTGGTTATCAACTGTATTACGTTATTATCCAAGCAAACAATTTGTAGGACTCTATCGAAAGCTGGAGAACTTACTTTCATGACGAAAACATTAACGCATTGCCTATTTTTTTTTTAATTATTTGGCACTATTTATTGCAAATTCATAAAATGCATAGATTATTTAACACAATTATTCATCATTTATTATCTTTCATAGTTTCCGAGATATTTTCAGAAGATCTTATAATTGTTCGAAGATTATATTA